TTGCTGCGTCAAACCCAACTGAGTCAGGCTTTGGTCGTGGTGTATTATTAGGGCATCTCTTTGCCCCATAGGGTTGAAAGCGGCAGAGTGACCCTCTAATGTAAAACACATGCAGTGTTGCTAACCGACGGGGGTACAGGAATAAAGACAAAACTGGCTTTCACAGGGAGGTGACGTTCTGAGCTGTGGCAGCACGTCCTGTATGGAATCGGTCAGCAGGGATCACCTCATCTCCCGGGTACAGGACCTTCAGCGGCAGGTTGGGGCGGCCCGGAAGCTTCTCGGAAACAGTCAACTAGGTGAGACTTGCTCCCTGCTTTGGTCCTCCAGCCCCTCCCTTTGTATTTATTCTGGGATCACTTTGGACTTGAGGATCTGCAGTGATGACTGAACAATTACATGTCATTATCCCTGTGCCAGCCACAAGATGGCTGCGCAAGCCAGTGGGACAGAGCCCGAACCGCCTGAGTTTGTGCTGTGTCCTTGAAAAGGGCCAGATGATTTAAGCTGTTGTTCTCTTGGGCAGCAGAGACCTAAGTTCAAGTACCCCATGATGACTAAAGGGTTATCTCTGACATCCGTGATCTTTGTGCAGTTCCAGAAGTTCGGTGCCATTTATTTTAATTCCAGGGCCTAATGGCCTAATTTCCTAGAGAGATTGCTCTGCTCTCCTCAGAGCCTCCTCTCTTCTAGGGAGCTGTGGAGCTTGCACCCAGATAGAAGCATCCTGCTGTTTTCAGAGAGGCTTGTGGAACTCCACATTATCCTTGCAAACTCTGCCTTAGAACTTTACATCCTAGAAATTTATTTACCCGACTTTGTGAAAGTTGACCTTAAACTTAGATATCTAAGTCGAGAGATATGATGATCGTAAGTGGAATCTTGCCACTTGAAGTTGGAAACCCAGGGTCCGTGTGGGGAGGCCTCACCTCACACCTATTCTGCTGAAAGAGAAACTGTGAGAGAACAACAGCTTTTTGGGAACAAACACTGTGGGTCTGTCACAACAAGGGGACAAAGTGGGGTTTCCGCATTTGGCCCAGCCAGTATGGAACTTAAGAGCTGGGTTCTCATTTCTAGGACTGGGTCTATGTAGTAACGAGGCCACCTTCCTTTGCTTTGATAGAGCAAGCCATTCAGCTGTTGTTGGGGTGCCGACACGATGCCGAGAGCTTCCTGTCACCAGAACACAGCATGGTAGGCGAAATGGAGGATGCCCTGGCCCAGGCCTACGCTGCCTTAGGTATGGCACGTGTCTGTCTTCATTTTCTGCTGCAAAGACCATGTGTGCCTCATGTGTTTGGTCCTGAGCCCAGTCTCATCTGGTTGGTCACCCCTCAGTCTTTGAGCTGAAGCTGTCCTCCCCTTCCACTGAGCTTTCCTCACCCTGAAAATGTGCATCCACAGTTGACTGTGGTTCTCTTCTGGAACCAGATTTCTCTTTTCTCTGCAGGGGACTGGCAGAAGTCAGCTGCCCATCTGCAGAAGAGTCTCCAAGTGGTTGAGGCTCAGCATGGGCCATCCAGTGTTGAAATGGGCCACGAGCTCTTCAAACTGGCCCAGCTCTTTTTCAATGGGTAAGTCTTTCTGTGGTTTCCTAATGCCCTCTGGGCCACACACTCATTAGGCTCTTCAGTGTTCCTTTTCTCCTGTGGTGCTGTTAAGCAAGTGGAAACTTCTCTATCTCCCCTTTAGGAAAACTCCTTTCCTTCAGTTTTGCTGATAAACTGGAAGCTCTAGAATTTCCTCCTGAGAGATACAGGGAAAGCTCTTAGCACTGAAGGGACATTCCTAAGGAGCAGTTGCCATATGGCCCCACCACCTGCATCCCGACGGCTCTCCTCAGCTTTCTGCTTCCTCAAGCCTCCCTCACGCCCTCGTTCTCAGCACTTTCAACTCCAGGGGCCTTTCCTTCCCCCATCCTGTTCCTCTTAAAGCAGTTGTTTTCAACCAGGAGTAATTTTGCCCCCAGGGGACATTTGGCAATGTCTGGAGACATTTTGGGTTGTCATATCAAGGGCGGAGGCCAGAGATGCTGTTAAACATCCTGCAATGCACAGGACAGCCCCCCACAGCTAACAGTTATCCGGCCCAAAATATCAGTAGTGTCAAGGCAGAGAAACCCTGCTTTGAAGGTTTAAAGGAAAGAACAGTCTATGCAGATGTCATCCATTTTTGCCACTGAGATCATGGGGAGGCCCTATTTCTAGATGCAGCACTTCCTTCCAGCCTTGATAAAGCTGCCATTGGTGCACTTGAGGGTGAGGCAATGTTTGAAGCTCGATTCTAAGATCATAAATGATCTGTGGGCCTGACACCTGAGACGCAGAGGTCTCCCATTGGGTCAAGAGAACAGGGCTGCAGTCAGGTCTGGGGTGGGCTTGGTTACCTGAAGGTGAAGACTCCTGAGTAAACCCTGGGATGAATCCCTGATGGAACCCTTTGAGATTTGCCTGTTTCTCAGGACCTTCGAATCTTCATGCTTTCAAATCTCATCACTTTGTTTTCAAACTCTACCTTGCAGTGTGCTTATGAAAGTCTCTCCCCTACCCTTCTAGATTATGAGATCCTTGAAGACAAACTGATCTTCGACGACTTCACAGGGTGGGGGTAGGCCCTTGATTAATGTTTGCTTGACTGAATGAGTGGATTCACTCCTTTTACCTCCTTCGGTTCAGGTTTGCGATCCCAGAAGCACTGAACACAATTGAGAGGGCCGAAAAGGTTCTGCTGGTGCACTATGGCCCTTGCAGTGACGAGATCCAGGAGCTACAGAAGATGAAATCTTGCTTATTGGACTCGCCACCCATCTAACTGGGGTCTTCAGTGTAGGATCCCAAGGTTTTCTTCACATAGTTAACTACCCTCCCGTAAAAACTCCCAGTTTCCAGAAAAGATGTAAAACTAGTGTCTGGAGAGCCTAAGCCCTTTAAAGGGATTTTAGCTGATCTGCAGCCATCTGGATGTTAGCCTGGGCTTTTGGCGAGACTCCACCTCACTAAATGATGATCGTCTGTTTCCCTGGAACATTCCTGTGGTTTCTAGTAGTAATGAAATGTTACGTACCACTCCAGTGGGCACTTATGCTCTTAGTAGTTGTGTTGTAATTGCAAAATAATTATTAAGCAAGAAATCACTGAGGCTCCTTACTTCCAGAGACACCATTTTGTGTGTGGTAGCTAGCTTTCTCGAATCCTTTGTTAAAACTAGTACGGTGTAAATTGTGAGTAGAGAAAGAAGTATGGGGCCACTTTATTGTTAGGCAGTCTCTTCCTGGGATGGCAACTCTAAATTTGTCTCCTACCAGTTTTCCAGTCTTTATTATCTGCCTCTCCTTCTGTACCCTTGGCCGACCTCCTGACCAAACACTAATACAATCAAGCTTATGATAATGACATGGGGGCCTCCTTTCTCCTGAAAAGAGACTCCCTTCTGCCGGACCTCCTCAGGCTGGGAAGGGAAATCCAGCTGCAGGAGTCCTGAGCCACTTGGGGGTGTCTTCAGAAGGTGCCCCAGAGCACTGGCATTGCTGCTTATGGTTTCAGACTCGAGCAACAGAAGGGAGAGGTGATAGCTCTTTTCTGCCTGGATGTGTAGAGCAGTAGTCTAGACTTCCGTCCCGGCCAGAAGGCTGGGAGACACACTGTTTTGAACCCAGGTTGCTGTGTCACGGTCTGGGACCAAGTGGGTCCAGTGAGTTAGTGGAAAGGAACATCAGGTCCACGGTGCTTTGAGAGCTTGACAACCCCCCCCCAGTCTGCCCAGGAAGTCCCCGCTGCTAGCCTCAGCCTTACAGTCAGGAAATGAATAGCCTCAAGATGTCTGGCAGGGGCTTTTCAGGAAACTTGAGTGTTTAGAACACAGCTTACATTCAAACATGTGAATGAAGGTCAGGCAGAAGCTCATTTAATTCTTCTTTCTACTCATTCCCTGTGGCAAGGTGCAGTGGCCAGTGAGATTTTTTTTTTTCGTGGAGATAAATTTTTCTTCTTGAAAATTTAGTCCTGAGGACAGTTCTATATTCTGTCCCAAACACTTGTCGTGTTTCGTGTTCCTAAAAAAAGGTCGTGTTGTAGTCTGTAAAATAGGCATGCTCCCCTAAAATGAATGTGTTTAGAATTTTCAGATGTCACATTCCCATTTTAGGTGTACTTGGGAGCTTTCCTTAAATGCTTTATGAAACATTTCCTTAAGTTACAACTTACCTCTCCTATCTGCCCATGTGTTAGCTTGTGTTGTCAGGTGACATTAGCTTGACTAGGGGGATAGCTGTGCTTGCATGAAAAGCTAAAGTTTTGGGGCGCCTGGGTGACTAGCCGGTTGAGCGTCTGCCTTCGGCTCAGGTCACGATCCCGGGGTTAGGATCGAGCCCGGCGTCTGGCTTCCTGCTTGCCGGGGAGCCTGCTTCACCCTCTCCCTCTGCCTGCCGCTCCCTCTGCTTGTGCTCTTTCTGTCAAATGAATAAGTGAAAGCTTAAAATAAATAAGTAAAAATAAAAGCTAAAGTTCTGGGGGGCATTTGGGGTGGTGCAGTCGGTTTAACAGCCGACTCTTGGTTTCGGCTTAGGACGTGGTCTCTGGGTCGTGAGATCAGGCCCCGAGTCAGGCTTCACGCTCAGCCTGACGTCTGCTTGAGATTCTGTCTCTCCCTCTGCCCCTCCTACTCGTGCTCTGTCTCTCTCTAAAATAAAATAAATAAATCATAAAAAAAAAATACCCTAAGGTTTGATTTATTTAAGAGCATACCCCACTGATTGTGGGGGCAGGAGATGCCCCCTCGGAGATTAGTGGCCCTACTGCATAAACACTTCCACAGCAGAGACTCTGGCCCTGCATTATACCGTGACGATAACTACAAGCTCTTTGAAGTGGTGACTTTCTGCAGAGTTTAGAGAGAGACCCAGGCTATAAGTATAGGACCAGCAAATCTCGAAAGGGCTATTTATCTTCATATTAAACTTAACAGAGCTCAAAACAGGAGGAGGAACAGGACAACAAAGGTTAAGGATAAAGCACTTTATTGCAAAGTATACACTGAAACAACATGGGGGCAGGCTTCCTGTCATATGTAATCTGCCATCCCTTGAGGGTTTTGTTCCTCCAGGGTATTTGAATGTGAAACTGCACCGTTAAATGCCCCTGGGGTCCAGAATTTTGCCTATGAAGAGAAGGGCCCCCGTGTCTGTGTCTCTCAGTACAAAGATGAAAGGTTGGTTAAGGTGATAGTCCAGGGGAAAGGTGAGGTGGGCAGGCTGGAGTCCTGGGCTGGGTGCGGTGCCTGCCCCATCCTCGTTCCACTCGAAGCCAGATCGATGTTCCACTTGGGTAAGTTTAATAGGTTTGCCTGTGATCTTGCTAAAGTCGGGCGAATCAAACAAGGATTGCAGTTCTGCAGAAATTGAGAGAGTTCCATTAAAACGCAGCCTTCACCCAGCACCCTGCACAAGAGTAGAGTCCTGGTTCTTAAATCCTGATTCTCAAGGAGGCAGGCAAGCTGGGAGTAGAACCCCACTTTGGACCTTCAGTGAGGTCTATAGACCTCTAGGCTGGGTAGGGTTCAAGTGACTTGCCCAAGAGCACTCAAAAACCAGCTCAACAGACGTGTCTTTTGAGAGGCAGTGTTCTGTTGCGAGATGTAGGCTTCTGGGACTAAGGAATGCGTCTGATAAGGGCAGTTCATGCCTCCCCTCCAGTGCTAGTAGAATTAAGGAATCGTCCATGGCCTCCCCACAAAGCCACAGAGCCCTTGAGTGCTGCTTAGCAAGGCGGAAAGCTCAAAAAGCTCAACCCCACCCACCCCAAGAGCAGAGTGGCCTGGCGGACATACTCATCTCCTGCAGGGACTTAGTGACTTCGCCTTCGTAACTCAGCTTCAGCTTGGGGATGGTCAGGACTGCCTGAATAGTCTTCAGTTCTCGGTCTATGTCATGAATGAACTCAGAGGTGAGGCTCTCTTCTATCATGGTCAAGTTCTGGGTTACTTTCAGAGGCAGGAAGAAGATGATACTCATGCTGCCAGTCAGGGGCAGCTGGGCAATCTGAAACCGCAGGGAGGGAGCACATGGGTTAGTTCCTTGGAGCCCAAGAGCCCAGGCCTAGACACACACACTCCAAGCTGCCTTCTCCTCTCCTGCTGTGGGGTTCCCTGGCCGTGATTTCCCCAGCCCCTAATCTCTTTAACGACTGTCCCTCTTGGCCATTGCCTTCCGGCTACAAGATGTTTACTGAAGTTCCTTCAAAAAAACGTAGGCTGTTGTCTTTTCTTACCTCAGCCTAATACCGACTGAAGTTATGCACTGAAAGAATTTTCTCCCAAAGATTGTCTGCCAGTAGTTACTGATCAGCTGTTATTTACAGAGCCCTGGACTAGAACTGGGGATGCTGAGCACAGGAACACAGAAGCAGTAATAAAATGGGTCTTTGGGGGCACCTGGATGGCTCAGTCGTTTAAACGTCTGCCTTTGGCTCAGGTCACAATCCCAGGGTCCTGGGATTGAGTCCCGTGTCGGGCTCCCTGCTCAGCAGAGCGCCTGCTTCTCCTTTTCCCACTCCCCCTGCTCATAGTCTCTCTCTCTCTCTCTCTCTCTCTATCAACAATAAATAAAATCTTAAAAAAAAAACATAAAATGGGGGGACGCCTGGGTGGCTCAGTTTGTTGGACGACTGCTTTCGGCTCAGGTCATGATCCCGGAGTCCCGGGATCGAGTCCCACATCGGGCTCCCAGCTCCACGGGGAGTCTGCTTCTCTCTCTGACCTTCTCCTCGCTCACACTCTCTCTCACTGCCTCTCTCCCAAATAAATAAATAAAATCTTAAAAAAAATAAAATAAAATGGGTCTTTGGAGCAGAGGTTCTTAACCTTAGGTCCGTGGGACAGACAACATCAGGAGTCTTAGCCCCTGAACCCACATACAGAAATGCATGTGTGCACACATGACATTTCTCTCAAGTGTTTTAGGCGTTTTGTCAGATTCCCAAAGAAAAAGATTTAAGAACTACCAACTTAGAATTAAAAGATGTCAGGTTTGTGGAAAAACTTAGAATGCCAGCCATTTAGGGTGTGTGACCATTTTTTTTTTAATTTGGCTTTGAATTCTAGAAATAAAAGTTCCTCCCAAAGAAAGAAAAAAAGGAGAGGCAGAGAAAGAAGGGGGAAAAGACAAGAAAACACCAGCATGTGATTTGCCCAGTCTTGGCCCATTTCACATTATCTGTTAATCCTTACAGCAAACCCTAGGAGGATGAGTTTCGAGACCCATCCTTCATTTTAAGAAGAAAGGCTCAGAAAAGCTATTGACTTGCTGAAAGCTACACAGCAGGCAGAATTTAGACAGCTGTCCCATCTCAAAAGTCAGCCTGTTTCACTATATGCCATCCTGCCTGTCTCTGTCCTCCCCTCTGCCCACCACTCATCCAGCCCCTACACACCTTGCAGTTGAGATCAGAGTCCAAGCCATAGCGTAAGATGGCCTTAGGGTCTGACATCATGGGGACTCTCACAGTCCTCTCCTCATCCAAGTGGAAATCCTGAAGGGAAGTCTTTCTGGAGTCAAACTTTGTTACCCACTGCCCTGAAATGAAACAAATGGGAGTGCCCTGAGCCCCAGGAGACCAGACAGGCATTGGGACTGGGGCTGGGAGACCAAAACCTATGGTTGAAAGGCGCCTGCCTAAAGGAATCTTAGAGGCCCCGACACATCAGGGAACAGCTCTGTCTGAGAACGTGTGGGCCGGACTACGATATGTCAAGGATCTGAATAGCTTCCATATAGAGACTCGGGAGGAATTACTGATTTGACCCTATGGACCATACAAGTTCTGTGATGGCCTGGGAGAAAAGTCAGCTGGTATCTCCTCTCGCAGTGAGGTGTCTGGAGGACAGGATCAGAGGAGATCAGGCTGCAAGGGACTCCGACATCACCCCTCTGGAAAATCACTGAAGCCCAGAGGGGCAGAGGCACTGGCAGGTGTTCAAACAGTGAGGCGGTAACCAAGCTCCCTACGGTTCAAGTTGACTTTTAATATGCTGGCCTATAATGGCTTCTCTCACTTTCTGGAGATCAGTGCTTCAAGTAGGGCCTCTCTCAAGGTCAGGGTCCCACTAGCTACTGCCTGATAGACAGAAGTTACAGAAAAGCATTTCAAGGAGAGGTTGCCCCAAATCCCACCCACGTCTTCTCTGATTGGGGCCAGCCTCACACGGCCTGTGGAGGAGTCTCAGGCACATCACTACGGCAGCATGCTATGAGAGAACTAACGGTTTGTTGAATACTTGTGCCCTGGGCACAGGGCTTCGGCTGGTGTGAAGACACGAGGCAATGTAGACAGCCTCTGAAGTAAGTGCGTCATCCTGTGTCAGAGGTGAGGCCTGTGCAGGGCTTAATGCCGGGGAAGGCCCAGCTGGGCTTTGACCCTCATCTGACTCCAGCACGAATCTCACAGTGCCCACCCCCAAACAGGCCCCCGAGGGCTAGCACTTTCTTCTCCCTTCTAGGCTTTGTGCACGGTCTCTTAACACTTTGTAGACACACACCGCAGGTTTGCCTGGGCCCAGAAGACAAGAACAGAGCCTTCAGGCAGGTGCTTTCCCCAGGTCATCCTCTGGCTTCGCCTCTCGGTTCCTGCTGAGCTCCGTCTCTGACGTCCCCCCTTCCCCAGCCCCTCTGACACCTCCCCTCCACCCTTGGCCAAAAGAGAAGTGGAGCCCTCACCCTTGAAGTGAGCCACACCGAGGAGGAGAATGCTGACTCCACTGGGTATTTCCTGGGTGGACCTAGCGATTTTCCCTTTCATCTGGGCCTGCACCCAGTTGTTAACCTCCTGAAGGTCCAAGCGAGGGTTGCCGGTCAGGATTCTGGGCCTGGTGCCATAGGACTTCTCCAGCGGTGTGACAAAGCTGGATTTTATCCGCAGCTCTGGGAAGAGATGGAGTAGGGTTAAGTGTGCTCTGAGCTCCCAACCAGCATCTGCTCTGGGAGAGCGCGCCAGGCTGAGGTTCTGGTTTACCACTCAGCAGGCCCTGACTTCCTGCCTAGTGACTTCCCGTGACTTGCCCAGACTCCCAGCCAGCTTCCCCAGGCGCTGGGCAGAGAACAACAAATTTCAGTCATTGCTGTTTCTCTTCAGGTTACCACACTCCCTGGGCCCTCCCACCATCTCTCTCAGTCTGCTTCCTCTTTCCGATCCCTTTTGAGCTCACGGGGCCTCTTCCTGCCCACCAGCACCAGGCCCAGCCTGGGCAGATGGTGATCTAGTGTTTAGAAAGAAATGCCCTGGGTGCCTGGGTGGCTCAGTTGATTAAGCAACTGCCTTTGGCTCAGGTCATGATCCTGGAGTCCCGGGATAGAGTTCTGCATCAGGCTCCCTGCTCAGCGGGAAGTCTGCTTCTTCCTCTGACCCTTCCCTCTCTCATCCTCTCTCTCTCAAATAAATAAATAAAATCTTAAAAAAAAAAAAAAAAAAAAAGAAGAAGAAGAAAAGAAAGAAACCGCCCACCACCAGAGGAGCATAGAGCCCCAAATTCCTCCAGCATCCCGGGCTAGCAAGGTGACCCACTCCTTTCAAAGATGATCCGGGAAGCACTCTTGAAGTTCTTCTCGGGGGCAGTGATGGCAGCAAGGAGCTCCTTATAGGTGCCATGGATGTCCGGGTTGCTGATCAGGTCGTAGTAGAGGGCCCGGTGGATGGTGGATTCTGTCCGCTGTTCCGCTCCTGCCAGAGACCGGGGTGGGAGCCTTAATACCTGGCCACCAGGGCCCAGGTCAGGCCAGCTCCTGGGGTGGGACACCACGCTCTTGGTCTTCCACTGTTCATACTGGTGGCATTCTTGCTGGGCAAGAAATTTGAAGGCAGTGGAAGAAAAGATTTTCCTCCAGCAGGTGAAGGCCATCAGGCCTAGAGAGAGCAACAAGGGCTGGAGGGAGGGTTCAAGCCCCCGAGCTTCTCTGGCCACAGCCCTTACCAGAAAGTTTGGTGGTCACCTGCTCATGACTCTCCCCGCCCCGCCCCCCCCCCACAGCCGGGAACTCAGCTGTGAGCGAGTAAAGGCAAGGACCACCCCCACTTGTAGGCGGTTGTATCCCCAGGACCTAGCCAAATGGCTGGCACGCAGAAGCTTGTGTTAAGGATGGAGTGTCAAAGTCATCCCGTCATCAGTAAGTGTTCGTGAGGCCATGTCTCCAAGTCAGCAGTGCTCTGCACCCTCTGCAGAGCTGGGGTGGGGGGTTGTAGGTACACGCAAAGGGACCCCAGTGGGCCGCTCTCTCACCACCTCTCTGCAGGGGCCACAGGCCGATCCAGGCACCCGAGGCTGTCCCCATCTGAGAACTCACCCAGCGAGAGTGCGGAGAGAGCGGTAGCCACACTGAGTGGGGATAGCAGCACGTTGGCAGCTGGGCTGAGGCTGGACCTCACGCGGTACAGGTCATACCCAAAGTTGGAGATGGCCGCTGCTAGCTTATTCACAGGGACCTTGAAGAAGGGGTCCTCCTCTTCCACGGGCACCCCTGTGGTGTCGGGGTCTGGGGAGTCCTGGATTTGAGTACAAGGGCCATCAGAGATGAGCTGTGTGTGATGGGAACCCTCGTTGCTTTGAGTGGGATTGTCCTTCTGGCCCCTTAGAGACGTCCTGGCTGAGTACCCTACATGTAGCCTGATGTTAGAAGGAGAGTGTGATCCTGGATCCTGCCGGAGTTCTTGGCTGGGGACAGGCAGTCCCACATAGAAATTAGCTGACCAGGGGCGCCTGGGTGGCTCAGTGGGTTGGGCCGCTGCCTTCGGCTCGGGTCATGATCTCAGAGTCCTGGGATCGAGCCCCGCATCGGGCTCTCTGCTCGGCGGGCAATACTAGTTAATAAGATTTTGGGGTATCTGGGTGGCTCAAATAGTTAAGCATCTGCCTTCGGCTCAGGTCATGATCCCGAGGTCCTGAGATAGAGCCTCGCATTGGGCTCCCTGCTCGGCAGGAAGCCTGCTTCTCCCTCTCCTTCTACAGCTCTCCCTGCTTGCGCTCTTGCTCTCTTTGTCAAATAAATAAGTAAAAACTAAAAAACAAAAAGATTTTATTACTTTATTTTTAAAGATTTTATTTATTTATTTGAGAGAGAGCTAGAGAGAAAGAGCACAAGGAGGGGGAGAGACAGAAGGAGAGGGAGAAGCAAACTTTCAGCTGAGCAAGGAGCTCACAGAGGGGGCTTGATCCCAAGACCTTAGGATCATGACCTGAGCCCAAGGCAGACGCTTAACCATCTGAGCCACCCAGGTGCCCTTCTATTTATTTTTGAATAGGAAATGTATTTACATAGTTCGAATTCAAGAAGTAGAGAGTATATTTATAATGTAGTCTATTTATTCTGTTCCAATCGCCACCTGTTTACCCAACACCAGAAGCTAACCTGGTTAAATGTATCTTTCCAGGGGCACCTGGGTGGCTCAGTTGGTTAAACTGCTCTGACTCTTGATCTCAGCTCAGGTCATGATCTCAGAGTCCTGATTTCAGGGTCTTAGGATGAAGCCCCACCTCAGGCTCCTCACTCAATGCTCAGCAAGGAGTCTGCTGCATTCTCTCCCTTTGTACCTCCCCCAGCTCACATGTGCTCTCTCTCTCTCTCAAGGAAATAAATAAATCTTTTTTTTTTTTAATGTATCTTTCCAGAGATACTTTGGCATATAAAAATGAATACAAATACTCTTATTCCTGTGCACACACACTTTTTATATAAATAACATTGTTATTGAAACACTGTGTTATATAAACATTCAGCCCCATGCTTTTTTCACTTAATAGTATCTTGAAGATCATTCTACATCAGTACATGAAGAGTGTCCTTATTCTTTTCTTGATAGCTACATGATTTTCCATAATATGGATGTATAGTTTATTTAACCAGTGTCTTGTAGATCTGTACATAATTGATCTAAGTTGTTTCCTATCTTTTGCTATTCCAAACAACCTAGTGTTGAGAAACTTTGCATATGTTATTTTGTACATATCTTTAGGGTAAAGGCTTCTATCTGTAGGATAAATTCAAGAAGAATTGCTGGTGTAATGGAGATATAAATGATACGGATGGATGTGAAAGATACATACATATTGCTAACTTGCCCTTCCTAATCTTGAAACCAACTTATACTCCCACTGGCAACATAACAGAATGCCCATTTTCCCACTCCTTTGACAACTCAGTGCACTATCAATTTTATTTATCTCTGCCAGTCTGATAGGTAAAAAATAGGGATTTTTCTCAATTTATCAGATGAAAACTTTTTTATTGTGGTAAAATACACACTACACACAATGTTCCATTTTAACCATTTTTAAGTATATATAATGCAGTGGCATTAATAAGCACATTCACAGTGTTGTGCAGCCATCATCATTATACATTTCCAGAACATTCTCACCAACTCAAACAAGCAATCACTCTCCATACCTCCCTTCCCCCTCACCTCAGGCAACCTCTGTTCTACTTTCTGTCTCTATGATACTGCCAATTCCAGGCACCTCATGCAAGTGAAATCATACAATACTGGTTCTTGTGTTTCTGGCTTATTTCCCTTAGCATAATCATTTCAAAATCCAGTAGAGTTTTAATTTGCATTTTGCTGATTAGGAATGAAGTTGAGGATTTTTTCATATGTTTACGAGCCATTTATATTTCCCATTAGAACTCTCTGTTCCTATTATTTGCATATTTTCCTATTGAATTATTGGTCATCATCTTACGGATCTGTAGGAACTAATTATAAAGTAAAGAAATGAGCCCTTTGCCTGTGATAGGAGTTGCAGATATTTTTTCCAGTTCCATGTTTGCCTTTTGAGATTGCTTTTATTGGTTTTTGCTGTAAAGAAATGTTTTATATAGTCAAATTTATTAACCTCTTATAAAACTTCTGGGTTTTGTATCATAGTTAGAAAGGGATTCCTCACTTCAATATCGCTTTAGGTTATTCCCATAGTTTCTAATAGTGCTCCGCGAGTTTCATTTTTTACATTAAGATTTTGATCCATTTAGAATTTATCCTAATGAAAGGTTTATCATAGAGAGCCAGCTTTGTCTTCAGTGGCTACCTTGTGGTCACAATAATTTTACTGAGTAATCTCTATCTTTTCTTCAGTGGTTTGAGATGCTGCCTTTATGATAATTATTAATCCTTGCCAGTTTGGTGGTAGAAAAAAAATGAAACATTGTGTGCTTTCGTTTTCATATATTTTGTGATCCACAAATGAATTAACTGTTTTCTAAGAAATAAGTATCATTAGTGTTTCTTCTTCTGTGAATTTCTATTTGTGCCACTCACCCTTTGTTATGTGCAGGATTGTGCTTGCAATATTTTCCTCCATTTTCATTTACCTTCAGTATTGTTTGTGGCTGAAGCTCTGTCTGATGCTGCTGTCTTCAAAGTGCTTTGAATATTTATTTCCTCATTTGATCTTCACGGCTTAGCTCTAAGGTAGTTAAAAATGAAGCCAAAGCACAAAGAGATCCACTAACTTTACCAATTTCCTATCATCTTTCATAGTATAGCCCTTATTATCTGAAAAAAAAAGTTTATTTTTTTTTTTGAAGATTTTATTTATTTGTTTGTCAGAGAGAGAGAGTGTGTGTGCAAACACAAACAGGGAAGCAGCAGAGGGAGAGGAGAAGCAGACTCCCCACTGAGCAGGACACGGGGCTTGATCCCAGGACCCTGGGATCATGACCTGACTTGAAGACAGACACTTAACTGACTAAACCACCCAGGTATCCCCCCAAGAAACACTTTAAAGATGCTAGTTTTTGGTGTGCCTGGCTGGCTCAGTAGGTGGAGCATATGACTCTTGATCTTGGGGTTATGAGTTCTGGCTCCACGTTGGGTATAGAAATTATTTTTAAAAATGCTAGTTTCCTTTGATGTCTTTAACTGGTTCATTGTTTTGCAGGGAATATCCCATGCGAGGCCTCACACTGCGGACATTTCACTGTGTTATGCCAATCGCTCTGCAGCCCTCTTCTACATGGATGAGTATGAAGTGAGTATCGGGGTGCCTGGTGTGATTGGAAACGATTGGTAGGAGGTTCACTAGAAGACTAGGCCTTCAGCTCTGCTCCTACCTTAGAGCACTAAAACTGGCCCCTGCTGTGAACTGGTCAAGTTGGAAGAAAATTGGTATCCTCCCAAATTTGTTCTGATGCATTTTTTCTTTCTCCTGATTCGTTTTACCTATCACAGGTGATCATGTGGGGTGGTATTGGTTGACAGGAGTCCTGGCACATGGCACGGGGCCAGGGACTATATATATCCAG